TCTGAACATCGTCGATTCTGTAGCGTTACTTAAGGAATCGCTTAAGGCACAACAGACCTTAAGCATTTTGAAAATGATACTGTTCGCATTTCAGTTAAGGCATAAAAGGTAAAGGTACCGTGCTGTCGGAAGAAAGGACGGTATCTTAAATTTTATAAAATTTTAAAAACCTCTGCACCTTGGTTCGGAGTGGAGCTCTTATGAAATTCTCATAGCGCGCAACGCGTTAAGAGGGAAACTTTTCGTCCCTCTCGTTCCTCGAAAATAATTTAAGAAAAGCCGAAAAGAGCAAGGTATTGAATCGTTGACTCGAATAACCCATTCTCGCCGTTAGTGGGTATTCTCCTCACGTGGTATTACAATGCGAAAAACAAGGACACGGTATGGCGAACATGGTCCGCGGAACTCTTTCTCCCCGTAAGTTAAGGGGAAACGTGCCGATGGTCGAAAACAGACAACGATATTATCGCCGGCTTCTTTTTCCCCAGCGGTCCAGTTATAATCAACTATATCCTCATGAGGAGCCGATTGAATTTGTTGGCCGGTGTTTGTGCTGTTCCCCGGTCCGTGCCATTCCCGATGAACTAATTATTGGTTCACGGAGTTCCGGCGACGTGCCGTTGTCATCTCGGCTTTCATTAAAGTCCAGATGAAAAAGTGGACTGCAAGAAATACGTCCGGAGCGTGTACGTTTATTGCGATGATCACCCTTAACCCTTTGCTGTGCGATCTTCTCCACGATCGTGATCGTTAGATTTATTACAAGCGTACACTTGCTTCAATGATGGGACGTTGATATTAGCAAAATAATCTTTCATTTTGACTCGTATGTCAATAATATCAATTTTTATTCAATTGCAATTTTATTTAATTACTCAATTATTTTATGCGATTAAAAATAATGTATCTCTAAAAAATGTCAATACTCTTGAAATAATATTTCAAAGATTTTTAAGTTGATTCTTTCTGTTACCGTTAGATGTACTTTTGGTTAATATTTCTTTTCTTCCTTTCAATGTTAGAAATAGGAGTAGAATTCGAATGAAACTTTAAGGCATACGCTGTATACGTGGGCGTGTTTGAATGCTTTAGAATTCCAATTTGTCCAGGATTTAGGTCCTTTCCCCGGTTTTCTTATTCCTCACGGTTCCTTTAACACATACCGCCCAAATTGCCCCCTTACCACCGGCAGAAACGATAATAAGATAAACCGCTCATGAATCATGACAGACTACTTCTGTCATTACTCAACAAAATATATTTTACGCCTGTAGCAGAGGATCCCCCGAAATTGGATAATTTTTCAGCCGGTTACGGAGGTATTTTAAACTGGAAGAACGTGCGATATTCGGTGAGAGACGACACGGAGGAGAGCTGTGAAGTTGAAGAAGTGTAAAGGAAGAAAAAGAATAGGTTGGAAGTTGGACACGATGGATATCAGGAATCTAGTCAACTGAAGCGTAACCAAATCCACTGCAATATTTAGCTGCCTTTCCGGAAATTGTTCTGTCTAGATTCTTCTCTCTTATTCCCTTCAATATTATTTTCAACACAGTCGTCCGTAAAATTATCAAATTTACACTCCACGAAATACCTTCCAATAGAAAATGTTGAACATCGAGTATCTCGGTTATTCTACAAACAGTATGGTCGATAAGAATCGTCTGGTTCACACAATTCAATTAGTAATTCGACATAACATTTTTCTACGAATTCCATGAACTTTCATCACTACATAGTAGACTTCTGACATACGTTTCCATTGGGTACATTTCGAATTGATATTACGAGCAATATCTTTCAGAATGTCATAGAGTTGAACGTTGTTCGTGGATTACTACATATTAGCAAGCTGACGCAAAATTCCAAGGAAACTGTAGAGAAACGTGATAACATTTTGATGAGAGGAACAGATAAAAACGATTTCCTTTGCTCGAGCAAAGATAATCTTTATTCTCGTACGATTTCGAAAATCGACTTACACGGCCCTGAAACATTTCCTCGATAATCCCGGAAGTATCTTCCCGTTTCCCCTTCCCCGCGTGGTCGTCCCTCTTATCGTGTTCTTTGACATCATATCCATCCGGGTTTTCTTACTTGCCGATCTGCTTGCCACTTGCACGGGATGGGAACGGTATTGGACCTTCCGTCTTCGATGGGCAGGTTTATTTTTATTCCATGCGATTCGTTCGATTGAGCATGACTTGTGGTTACAGACCTGGCAATATATTTTCAATATGGCGACTCGACATTCCGACCGTAGTCCCATGAGTCTTTTGTATTCTTTGCCTGTGCCGCGTCTATCCCGCCCCCTTCTGCCCATGTCCCCGTTCCTTGCTCAGTATCCGCCTTGGTAAAATACGGACAATTCTGGCCGGAATAATAGTGGCCCCCGGCGAATTTGTAGCTCCGACCGCGGATATCGAAAATAGGAAAGACACTCTCCTTTGATCATATTAATTCGAAAGATCGATTACCTCGGTCGCGCTTCGATTCGAAAGACTGTCGATCAATACCGAGAACTTGTAAAAACTCGTTAATAGTACGAGCTTTAGAATTTTTTTCTATTTTTAATTTATATAAATAATAAAATGTTTATACATTATGTAACTGTAATGTAAGATTTATAATGAACGACAATCATATTAATTCGAGAAATTTATTAATATATACACCAAGAACTCGTGAAGAAACATTGATAATATAAGCTTTAGAATTTATATACATTATGTGATTATAATATTAATTTCAGAAATTGATTGCACAGATCGCACTTCGATTAGAAAGATTACTGATCGATCTCGAAAATTTGAAAAACTTGTTGATTATTTGATTATTTCTATAAATTTGTACTGTACTAGACACGAAAAATATTTCTCCACATTTTTAGTTTATTCTATGTCATTTTATATTCTTCGATATGAATTGATTTTCTATTATACAATTGAAAGTGTTCAGAAAATATTTAGTTTGATGGAATTCGTCTTCCTCTGTTCTGAATGAAACTACAAAAACAATTTTGCAAAGCTCAGCGTTACAATTGTGACACGATAAGAAAGACAGTCTGACGATGGTACGGAAAATGGCGTTTCCATTTCGAAGCGATGTTTCGCGTTCCACTGTCAACGTAGAACGGATGCAAAAATGAAACCGATTTTACCAGTCGATAATATATATTTGGACGTGATTTCATTTCTGCCAATCATTCCGCAGTCGCTAAAATTTTCAACGTGAATTCATAAAAACGTTTCGACGAATATACACTGGTCGCTGCAAAAACGATAATCCGCGACGGTATTTAAAAGTTCCGCAATATGTCAAACGAATTTTACAAATTCCAGTGACGCTTATCGTATTTCATTTCTTCCAAAGCAGTTTTTTCTTTGTCACTAAAAGTTATATTAATTAAACGAAAGCCGCATTAAATATTTCTAAACACTGATATCTTGTTACACGATATTTAATTATCCCTTAATGATACTTTCACTTTTCGAAAGTACTCTCAACACTCTCTATCTATTAATACGAAACCTCGTTTTATTGGATCATAACACTATCAATTATAAAATTAATATATTTTTCTTTATTACAACATTTTCAACCTCAATAGAGGCTCACTTTGTTTGCATGTAAAATAACTACTCCCCCCAAATTTTTATAAATTTTCAAACGCATTAAAATTGAGCTCATAATTACCTTCTACGGGAATTATCAATGGTAAATATACAATAAATTAATTTATTTATTTCATTTAAATAAGTTATGCAGTCCTCTCGCAGTGTACTTTTTTATAAGACATCAACACTGACTGATCTCTCCCCGAACTATCCCAAACTTACTACAAACGATAAATATTTTTATGCGAAGATCAATGCTGTTGACGCTTGCCCTTTGATCGAGTCAAGCAATTACATCGATTACGCGATTCGTTGGAGTGGCGAATGTCAGTTACGGAGTCGCGGATGAGGGGGCGGAATGGAGAAAGGGATCGAACATTGGGAAGTTTGTCCCAACGTTAGGACTTAGCTGGAAGTTAGCTCGACAACGAGCATCTAGTTAAAAGCATCAGAATACGTTGCTAGCTCCCAACATTTGGGACGCAAAGATAGTTAATTAGGCGGTATTGTTGTCGGTGCTAATAAACGGATGCGTTGACATTAATACAATATACAGTCGCGGCGTAGGATTAGAGGGTTGGGAAGATAGGATAACTAACGGTACGGCTGAATTATGCATTAATGGATAGTGATGTTGCGGGTAATCCCGATTCATTCGATTATTTGTGAGACCCAGACCCAGAGTGCCAGGCTTAGTATCGCTATGTAAACGTGCACTATGTACGGGCAATGATAGTCAACGTTCAGATCATCTCTCGCGACGACTTAACTTCGAATGGTTGATAAGGGAAAGGCGAAAATTATTTTTCGTACGAAAAGCGAACGGAATGTAACAAGTAATTATATGTAAATATGTATATTAACCCTTAACAGACCGGAAGTATTTCAAGTTCACGTACCCTCAAAAAATACTGTAACACAGATAACAAACGGTAAGAAATTCACAGAAGTGACCTAGCACAATACTTAACATGTTAATTGTAAATATTACAAGAATAACAATGATAAAAACAATCAAATGATTTTTATCATCATATACGCGACATTGGACGCAGTAAGTACAAGTGTCATGTCGTTTATATGACGGCATTGCTTCGTTAAGGGTTAAGATGATTTAAAACCGAATGCGATGAATGAAAGTACATTTAAACAACGATTAAATCGAAGAATCATATAATTTGAACATTAATTTTTCTACCTTGAATTCCATAGTAACGTGATGGAATATCGAAGAATTAAATATTTATTTGAATATATATATAATATACAATATGTATTATATTTTTTACATGTGTTTTGTATTTTTTGATTGGTCAGCATTTGAGTTGCTGAAAGGAGTGTTAATAACTTGAAGTGTTCATACGTTGCGTTTTTATGTTTCAGAACAAGGACAAAACACTAACAAGAAGAAAACCACGTTTTCGAGACTGCTTCGAGGATTAAAAACGCATAGGAAAGAGAAGCAAGGGCAAACTCAAGGTTCTCCAAGACACGGTCGTGCCAGAATGGGAGTGCCACAAAGAGTAAGTATATAAGTACGTACAGTGTACGTAAACAAAACTGAATGGCGTTAGAAAAATAGAAGTTTTATGAAAAGAAGTATATAGGAACATTCCACTTCTAAACAATCTTTCACAGTATACCTGCAAAGTATTTCATGTTTATTCACATTTTTCTTTAGAAAAAATATACCTATTTTATGAAAAGTAATTGCATCAAAAACCCATTATCAACCAATAGATGAAATTCTTCATTTCTCTTGACAACGATTAGTCTTTTGACTTCTTTACTTTCTTTCTTCTTCTCTTATTTCCCTCATAATCAACTTACAAAAAACTAAAGGATCGTTGCTATTGAACTTATTGAATTTGAATTCTTTTATGCTATTGAATTTATTCGTTTAAAACGTACTATATGCATTATGAGAGTTTTAATTTAAAAAGATGGTTAATGCTTTCGAAAGAACGCGTGGCCTTCACTATTAAGAATGCTTGCGTTGAAATTACACTGGTCACTCGAAAATGACAAGTGAACAGTTTTCGCCACTGGAAAAACTGCTGAACGCATTATTTCCTACATTCGGTCGGTTATATTGAGAATCAGGAAGACATAAGTTCCTTTTATTGAGATTACATTTAACTTTCGACAAGTATAATGCCGCACCCACACGCGTGTTCATATATGGAGTCTGTATTACTATACCGTGAACGCTGTCGCCATGACTGCTGCAGCCATTGTATGAATTCGCTCTGTGACCACAGTCAGAACTGCGTTTCGCTGTCTAGCAGGACATCCTGTATCTGTAATGGAAGGCAACCGACGAGTTCTCAGAGGATACGAGAACTGGACCACGATTCCACTGGAACAGAATATCGCGAACTGTCAACATACGTCTGTCTCTTGTCGGCGCCATTTACCGCACATCGCCATTTGTCTTGTTTTGGCTTCACCGCTGTCGTTAATAGTGTTAACGCGCGACCAAATCAAATGACAGAATTACAATTGCGGATGTTTCTAGAAAGGGGCTTGTAAACTGAAGTGACGAATTGAGTAGATCGTGCCGGAAGTTTTAATTTTACTTTCTTCGATATATTGATATGTTTGAATTGTGAATTATAATTATAAAATAACACCGGTAGATATACAACAATAAGTTGAAAGCATTTGATCGGAGAAGGGTGCATAAATATATAGATATCGTACAGCAATCCAATAATGTTTAACAAACTCAAAATTACAGACATGTTATTTATAAATATATATTTGTTTCTGAATAATAAAAGTGAATTAATATTACATAATTGGTTCGGCCAGGTTTTTCAATATAAATCGTACTTAATTGCTTATTACTTTCATTTTTATATAGATGTTGTGATTTCGAATAACGCTTCTACGATATAGTCAACGGTACCTACGTGAACATTGTAAGACCTATCGAGATTCAAGCGCATGAAGTACAGTATAATTAAAACTTCACTTAATTAGAACATAATTTTATATTCTAATTTTATATTATAATTAAATTTACGACAGTATAATGAAATATAGAGGAGTTAAAGTTTTAATTTTCTACACTGAGGTTTATAATTTATTAATAGGTGTACAGTGAATGCTCACATGATAAGATTCGCGAAGTTAAAAACACAATTTCATCTAAAGGGCAACACTTAATATTTTACGTTCACGCGAAGGATCTCGGAAACTCGGTAACGCGTCGCCATTGTGAATTCGCCTTTCAATACTTGAACATTTAGGATTGTTCAGCTCAAGACGCGCTACGGGATCAATAATTAACGTATTTCGAAAAACTGTTTCTTTGTTCAGCCAGTGCAAACGAAAGCTTCTAAAATACCGAGACTACAACACTGTGTATTTACTCAAGCATCAAGTATTCGGAACTGAAAGAAGTTTATACTGCCTTCTCGTTCTTCTTAAATAGTCCATTTTATTTGTTAACGTTCTGGTGGTGACATTTCAATTTCTGCGAAAAAATATAACCCTCTTTGAAAAATATTTATTCGCGAAAGCGCCATAATGGATTTCGCGCGTTTTTCGTCGGATGAGAATAATAAATGAAATTCGCCGTTGAACCGTTGTTAGTTCACGTTGCGTTAAATGCTCCGTTATCAAACTGCCTGGAAACAATAACGCCCTGTTCGGAATTATATTACATGAATATAGTAGAATCAAATGAATGTTCTCTATTAATCTATTTAAAACGCGATACATTTACATTTATGCGAGGAACCGATTAATGAATCATAAAACACTAGTGAGATATTAAAATTTTGCAACAACGGCGGATACTTATGATTAACAATTTCCATGCGCGAAACTGCGGTTATACGTTTAAACGCATTATGCGGGGAGCAATTTACTCGAGTGCAATTTATCGGGTTCCTTTTAACAGCCTCAGCAATTCTAATTCCTTCTGTACCGGTACATCCCTTTATTTATGTCTCCTTTTATTCCTTCTTTGTAGGATTTCGATCGAACCACCACAGAAAAATGTATGCCCGCGCATAAATGCGGTTACTTTACATAGCCAATGCAGTAAGCATCGAAACAACAGGGCATTCGAAAGAATTTACGATGGCAGTTAAGTGAATGTACGATGGTTCTAGGTTAACTAGCTCTACATCTCTTCTCATCGAGGGCGAAACCAGGAAAAAGGTGTGAAGCGTCGTAACGGTTCTCTAAACTACTCAGACCTTCCCTGTAAAAGATTTCTTAGAAATTTTCAAATAAATACACAGAGATTTTCTTCCTCTTAGCATACAGTTGAAATAAGACAATCGGCAACAAGTTAACTACATCCCCGAAAGTTTATTATTCTAATACTTTTGAAACTTTACTTTTGATCATTTAGATTTATTTACTGTTTTGAAACTTAATTTCTTATTATTTGTCTCTCGTTAGAGAATTCAACTGAAAATACGGATAATTCAAATTGAAAATCGTTATACGACAAAAGGATGGACTTTACCATAACCTTAATGTATCGGTAACCCGACCGCACTTTCGTACAGGCAACGAAATGGCGGCGGTCTACTGCGATGTGTGCCGAGGTAAACGCCGGTCCTTGATTACGTGTCGGGGAAAGAGCACGACCGATTGGAAAAAGGGCAGAATAAACGGTTTTTCTGCGGAGAAAACGGACAGCCAGAAAGTGCTACGCGGATAAGCAATTTCCGTGAAAGTTGAGGGCAAAACCGACCTTCCAATTCTTGGTGTTTCCGGCCACTTTTCCGTGGAAGTTTATGGAATGCTTTTAATGAACTTGTTGAGTCGCTTCGATTGAGCTAAATTGAAACATATTGGCAACCGTGTAACAGAATTTCAGTTTCTATCGGGTAAAACGTGTAGTGCGTCCCCACTAAATTTTCTTTAACTCCGAAACCCGAAGGTTCTGTTTGATTGTTTTCTTTCGTTCATTCGATTAACGTTATTCGCGTGGAAGCACGTGTACAGAAACAACAGACACTCAAGTTTATTCTGCTTCTACATATTTTTACGCGCCCATAAATTATTTTAATTAACAAGCATAATTATTTCAATAATCAACCGCGATTAAGATCAATTACGTCTTACGTATTTTTATATTCCTAAAGAACGAAGAATATCCGAAAATTCTTTCCTAATCGAAAAGGTTAATTAAGCTTTTACTCGAATATTACTGTAATAGTGACTTTGAGTATCGATTTCTATAATCGAAAGCTGCAAGTAATTAGAACTACTGACTGTTTAATATAATTAGTACGTAATCCTTACCAAAATTGTTACAATCCACTTTCCTCGGTGTCATATATTCATTATAATATTCAAATAAAACTACGTATTTTCGAAATCGTATCTTCAAAGTATATTTATCACTCTTAGCATCCTAATCATTACTAAATAAGAAAACTGACACCCATCATTTAGATGTGGTAGGTGTAATCTTAAATATTCAATAAACAAAGGATCAGTAGTGCTATTTTCCTCTTTTACTACTTAAGACTTCGAAGTACAACTGAACTTTCAATGAAAGGAATTTTCAGAACTTCAAGCACATCTCGACCGCGACGGGTCAATTGGAACACCGGATTTGTCCGTGTTCGTAATCGACTCTCGTTGCGGGTACGCGATTCGGCGGGTGCCGCGTTAAAAGTAAGCAGCGCGAACGCGTTCAAACGAACCGTCTAGACAGTCCGCAATCGATCAACCCCACTTCAGAGAAATCTCCGGCGTAAAAACGACGTCGCGGTGGTGTCGCGTGCGTGCATGGGTGCATGCGTGCGCGAAATGGTACGCGAACTTCGACACCGACCGGTATAAACCGCTGCGGGGCTTGAAGGCGGCGCGCGGAGCACCGGGAATATCTTTCGACGTCGTTTCATCTGGCTGGATACATTTACTAATTAAAACGAGCCGCACGGAAAGTCTGCGGGTTTCGACGAGCGACGCTGCTTAGACGCCCGCGAAGCATTACCGGGCGCACCCGCGACATTGAGGGTCTCATCTGGACTGGCGGAAGTAAGGACGGGGAGGCAAAGAAGACGCGAACACGTCCGGTGAAAGTTGAATGGAGAAAACGAGCGACGAACGCCGCGTTATCCCGCGCCGGAGCGAGAAGGACGGCCAGCCTAAGATGAGACAGGCGGTGAAAGGGGGGACGGAGGCCGGTGCCACAACGAGGGTGACACACTACATCGATCGCACCTGGAACATCCCCTCTACCTAGCCGTCGCGGTTTAGTCGCAAACCTTTTTTCCTTTCCGCTTATCGTCTACTTTCACCAGCCACCCCCGTGCAACCCCCGTTTATAAGTACAGTATTGTCTCGATAGTAGACGCATTTTTTCGATACGGATGAAGAGCCAGGCTAGACGTTCCGATTTTTCGGGGTTCGTCTCGATGTTGAGAGTTGGAGACATATTATCAAGCCGAAGATGCGGACGTAGGATGTTTTTAAATAGTGTTTGGTATGCCAGCATTCGGTCAGTCGATTCTTTCTAATCTAGGCTTAGCTGAAACTTAAATAG